AAAAAAAAGCCTGAACCATTTTCTTAAAACATTTGGTGTACCATCAAGTAGCATTTGATATTATTGTATGTGGTTGTTCTTCTACACTCAAGGAAAAACTTGAGTGAAAATAAAGTCTTTTGTGTAATGAGGAGTGTTATTGAATCTCCGATAGCTTAAGAAAGTGATTGAAACTGATTTTTAAGGAAACAATATTTTTGTATGACAACATACACTGGAGGAAAAAAAAACTATCATGCTTAGAAGCCATTCATAAATTCATGTTTAACATACCTAAATACCTTTGAGAGTGCTTGTAAGAAGGGGTGGAGAGGGTTCAGGCAGTGGGGAGTTGACAGTCTGAATGTGCACCACAGAGAATACCACATGACTTGGTATTTATGGATCCTGAGAGAAGAAGAGCTTCAAGTGATGAGGATGTTCTGCTTGATATGGGAAAGATTTCCTGGGAATTCTCTTTCCTAGGACAGCAGCCTGGTACCTCCAGGCTTGGCAGTTATTATTCACACAGACCCTCACAGTGCTTTAATTTGGGAATCTAGCCTGAGTTGAAGCTGCGTGCTTGAACTCTGAGCTGTTTTAGCTCTTGTGAGCAGTAACCACGTCTGCATGTTCTTATAATGCTCACTTGGAATCGACATATCTAAATCATTTATGTCCGTGTAAGCAGATAATGGTGAAAGGTAGGATTCGGTGTTCAGTATGGATTTGTCTGCATTATTGTGGTGCCCACTTGTGTCCGTCCTGGAACCCAAAAGTGCTAAGCATTATATACCTTTAGCGTATAGGGCTTGAAGAGGAGGGGCTCTCTTTTTCCCATGGAAAAAAATTCTTTTCAGAACATTCACAGAAGATGAGTTTGTTGAGATAATGCTTGTGCCTTCCATGCTTTTGCATGGATTGAAGGCTGTAGCATTCAGCGGGGAGGAAGGTGTAGATGCCCAGCTGCTAGGTGCAGGAGAATTCAGTGGGAATCCAGGAAGGAGAGGTTAGTATTTAGCTCATTTACTTACCTCTGCAAGGTTAAAATGAAGATTCTGTCATAGGGATTCAACAGTTAAACCTTCTGAGCTTCTAAGCACTTTATACTGAAGCATCTCAGTATTTCATGAGAAACAGCAAATGCAGTTTACAAACGGCAAATCTGCAATCTGTAATAGCAGAACAGGGGAACAGAAATGAAAAGGGAAATAAAATAATAATAAACTATTTATGTTCATTGTGACTATTGAAGAATCACATGGAATCACATGAATGGAGTCTTTTGTTAAACGTACAGGGCAGGAAATGAGTGATGATCGTTTGTGCCACAGTTTCTGACATACCTCTTAACAGCACTTAAGTAAACTGGGTTTCATAATAAAGCTTATTCTGTGTCAGCAACTTCAGAAAAGGGGCTCTGAGCTTTATCTTTGCACCAAGCATCAAAATCACTTCAGAAACATCTAAACAGAATGTCCTTGGTTTGAGACTTTCTAAAGTAAAGGTTTTTTGCAATAATGTAGAAAATATAATGCACATCTGCTTACGTAATAAAAGTATATTTTTTCCATGTTGCAGAATTGTCGAGCTGAAAGACTCAGTTGATGATGTCAATCTTGGCTTCAATAAGCTCTCATCTATTTCCCTGGAGTTTTGCATGCTTCATAAATTGACACATTTGGATATCAGGTTTGTGCCGTGTGTTGGACTTCCTTTCTGAGTAATTTATTTCCATGCCTTTTTAAACCAGCCATCTGTTCCTGCAGTATGGCAGTGCTGAAATAATTTTTCATTTCTGTAAATGCCTCCATGACAGTTGAATGACTGGCAGATCTGAAATGGCAAATGACCTAGATATAGGCATTGGTTTAATAAAAAAAAAAAAAACAGAAAAGGTGGGGTGGGCAAGCTCTGAGTCTTGCTCTGATGAAGGGTCTTGCCCCTGTCATAGAAGGGTTCTCAGAGATGTTAAGTGAATGTAAAGAAAGCAAACCTGGAGGGTATCTGGGAAGGGGAACCAACGAGGGCAGCCTTGGTGTGCTGTATGAAGCTGGAGCTGCCTACAGCTCCTTCTCTGTTAAGTTCCTTACTGTAATTCTACTTTCTCTAACTTGTGAAAAACATGCATTTGTTTGGCCATTGGGATTAGGTCACTGCTAGTCATTCTCTGGGTGCATCACAGAATGAAAAGCAGCAAAGCCCAGTTGCAAGGAGAGTTTTTTGCTTTGGCTTGGTTTAGATTAAATGGCCTGTAACATCTGTGCTGCTGATGGCAGAATCGGGCTGAAGACTTCAGAAACATTGGTGAGGATGGTGAGAGAATAAGGTGACTATCTCGGAGTGCGCAGGAGTTGAAGTCCATGTCTTCTTTAGAGAGTGAAATTCATTTTCTTTTAGCAGCTCCTTTATACGTCACACTCAAATGTCATGTTTGCAAGTTACTGGCAAAAATCAGAATACTTGCATCAGCAAGCATCTTTACTTGAGCATGGTCTTGGCCTGCTTATGAAGCAGCCTGCTGATTTAAGATAGCATGTTAGTAGTGGTAAATATGCATATTCTTTCACTGAGAATTCTTAATACTTGCTAAAGTTAATAGTTATTTTTTGTCTTCATTTGGTACACAGAAATAATTTTTTGGCATCTTTACCTGAGGAAATGGAGGCACTGACAAGACTGCAAGTAATAAATCTTTCCTTTAATAGGTAAGTCATACTTGTAGAGTTTTTATAATAAAGAAAGGACTGGGCCAAATTCAGTGCGATATTCCTGTGATGAGATGTGTGATGAGATGGAGAGCGTGTTCCTCTGCACAATGTGTGGTGTATTTGGGGAGCCTGCCATCCCAAGAAGAGATGGAAGGAGGAGAGAGGAGCAGCCGGTCCAGCGCGGCACTGAGCAGTGCAAGGGCAGTGTGTCCAGAGGTGGCTTCCAGCAGCAGTGCTCAGGGCTGGACCCGTTAACGCTACAGTAAGGCAGGTCTGGGTGCTGGAAAAATACAAGGGCAGTGGAGTGTGGTAAGTGGTGAGGCTTGAGTAGCCTCCCTGAATAGCATCTCATACTGCTTTTATTGCTTCCCAGGGTGAGACGCAGCTCTGGGCTGAAGGACCCTTGGTTTGACTCAGGAGGCCTTTTCCTACGTGCACAGAAAAACTTTTGCCCCTTATTCTATCTTCTTTACACCCCTGTGTCTGCTACTGTCATTTATGGTGGAGGACTGGAATTTATGTCGGAGGGAATAAGGTTTCCTCAAACTAATACCTTGTGACTGTGGTTTTAGAGGATCTATTGTGTTTTTGAGTATATTGCAGAGACTGAATCTTTTGTCTCCACTTACCCCATTTCCTTCATCAAAGCCTTTTGTAAAACCCCATACTTGAGGAAGACAGTAGAAGCTTTGCCACTAACTTAAATTCCAGTGATACCCTTTCAGTTGTGCCTGGGCATAAGTTTTTCCAGTTATTATCTACCAACAGTGACTTTACAGCTCCCATCTGTATTAGTTACAGCTCATTTTCTAGGTTTAGTTTGTTCTTACTCCTGCTAGGAAAAGCTTAAGGCAGGGGTAGCCTTTCAGAAGTCTGTTCAGTTTACTGTACAGAAAACAAGTGCAGTGTTGAAGGTCATTCATGTATTAATTTTTAAAGAGAAAATATTTACAAAAATAGTCAAGTTATTTTCTTTAATTAGGACAGAACTTCAGTGGTGATTTCTGTATTTTTCCCAAATTGTGAATATATGGCTATATGTTATGTTATGGAGACATAGGAGAACCTGTATATTGTTTGCAAATGAATGTTTCTGGAATTTTTGGAGTAATATGAGGTACAACACATTCGTAGTTAAGGCTCTGAGCTGCAGTATTTGGCTTTTACCTTAAAGAACACATAATGCTGGGCAATTAAATGTACTGAAAAAAATATTTTTTGTTGTTATAGTTTTGTAAATGATGCTGCTGGACTATAGGTCTCTGTTATAGGTGCTGAGTTGCCACTATACGAATTCTGTCCAGCTTTTTCACTGTGTGCAAGGTAAAATAGTACTTTCTCCTTTCAGAGTGGCTTACTTAAACAAAGAAGAATTTAAATCAACAACTCTAAAAACCTCTTTTGTTTTGATGGCTGCTTTTTTTGTGTGTCACATATGGGCCTCTCTTGTTTCAGGTTTAAAGTATTTCCCGGTGTCCTTTATCGCCTGCTGGCCCTGGAGACCATCCTGCTCAGTAACAACCAGGTGGGGTCCATCGATGCTCTGCGGCTGCAGAAGATGGACAAGCTGGGGACCCTGGACCTTCAGAACAACGACCTCCTCCAGGTGCCCCCAGAGCTGGGCAACTGTGACACGCTGAGGTGTGTATTGTAAGCTGGGGCCTGTTGGATAAAATATATAAAATCATAGAATCATAGAATCATAGAATGCTGAAGGTTGGAAGGGACCTCTAGAGATCATCTAGTCCAACCCCCTGCACACGCAGGGTCACCTAGAGCACGTGGCACAGGGCTGCATCCAAGCGGGTTTGAAGATCTCCAGAGAAGGAGACTCCACAACCTCTCTGGGCAGCCTGTTCCAGGGCTCTGGCACCCTCACTGGGAAGGAATTTTTCCTTAAGTTCCTGTGGAACTTTTGGTGTTTCAGTTTCCGGCCGTTTCCTCTAGTTCTGTCGGTGGCCACCAGTGAAAAGAGGCCAGCACCATCCTCCTCACTGCCTCCCTTGAGGTACTTCTAGACACTGCTCAGGTCCCCTCTCAGCCTTCTCTTCTCCAGCTGAACAGGCCCAGCTCCCTCAGCCTCTCCTCACAGGGCAGATGTTCCAGGCCGCTGATCATCCTTGTAGCCCTGCGCTGGACTCTCTCCAGAAGCTCCACATCCCTCTCATACTGTGGAGCCCAGAACTGGACACAGTACTCCAGATGCGGCCTCACCAGGGCTGAGTAGAGGGGCAGGATCACCTCCCTCGACCTGCTAGAGATGCTCTTCTTAATGCAGCCCAGGATCCCATTGGCCTTCTTGGCCACGAGGGCACACTGGGTCTATTTTGTCAGAGGGAAAATTTCAAGTTGGCAGCATGGATGTTTGTAGGTCCAAATAGAAAGCTGAGTAGGTCTTCATCATTTGTAAAACCATGCGATTTCTTGCAGAGCTTCTTAAGATTTTTAGACAATTGGCAAAGTTGTTTCATGATTTTGTGAAAATTTACTCTGTAAATATGGATTAATATTAAAAATGGACTTTGCAGGCTGGATGCCTGACTGCTTACATAAGTAAGCAGTCTGCAAAGCAGAGTTTAATTTAACTGTAAGGGTCAAATTTTGCAAACAGCTTTAAGTTTGAATATTTGAGAGCTGTGAGGTTCCTAATTTAGCTTCCTCTCAGTTTGCTTTGTGCTCTTTACTGTAGGAGTTGTTTCATAGGATATGGAGCCTTGGTATTAAGAGTACCTGCCTCTTTGGTTGGCCTTTGCTTCCAGCTCTTTGCCAGAGCTGGTTTGTTAGAACGTTAGCAACTGAAGGTCCTGAGTTTTTTAAGATTTTGCACTGCAGTTGGCTGTGTTAAAGCTGAGGAGAAAGGGAAGAGTGGAAGGGGTAAAATTTGAAGATGACACTGCTGTTTTCATGAACAGAGACTGGGAGGTCATGGGGAACCTGGAGTCTAACAAAATGAGGCAAAAATCTTTCTCGCGGGAAGACAGGGTTGGTGGAAGCACGCGGTACCTGCAGTAACCTGCGTCGGGAGCATCCGTCAGACTGGCTGCAGTGATGGCTGGGGGCACCGTGGTTGGGCCCCTCGCCTGCCCGGGCAGCTCTGTGCTCGCGGCAGCGTTCCTGGTACCGCGTGCCAAGTGAAACCCAGAGAGACCTTCACCAGTGTGGGCTCAGCCAGGCCGCTGTGCACCTGCATTACCGTTAGCAGGATTTGTGAACAGACGTGGTCTTGTTTGAGGGTGTTTCTCCCGTGGGCGTCTCTGCGGGGCCGGGTCAGGGCAGGAGGGCCGGGAGCGAGGCCGCTGCTCGGGGAGCAGCCCTGCGCCCTCCCTGCGGCGCACGGCCTGGGCTCCCGACGCGTCGGGGCACAAGGGCCCTGCCCCGGCGGGTGTGTGTGTGTGCTCAACAGAGCTCGCTCCAGCTCCTGCATTGCTAAAAAGGGGCTTTTGCACCTTTGGGCTTGATACAAAGGTTGCATTAGTTCAAACCAAAAATATTATAGGTGCTCGGGGAGCAGCCCTGCGCCCTCCCTGCGGCGCACGGCCTGGGCTCCCGACGCGTCGGGGCACAAGGGCCCTGCCCCGGCGGGTGTGTGTGTGTGCTCAACAGAGCTCGCTCCAGCTCCTGCATTGCTAAAAAGGGGCTTTTGCACCTTTGGGCTTGATACAAAGGTTGCATTAGTTCAAACCAAAAATATTATAGGTGACTGGGAATCTAAGTTTTAGGGACTTGAAGGAAAAAAGAAAAGAGAAAACACAAAACCACCCACAGACTCCTCTCGCCCCCCGAGATCTGTGCAGACCCAAGAAGAGTGGGTCAGCAGCTGCACGGAGGGTTTCACTATAACGTAGTTTACACGAACGTGGTTTGTGCCAGTTGTGTTTCAGCACAGGAATCCCAGGTGGTTCATGAAGTGATGCATGGTGTAATGGCTGTTTTGGGTAACCCTTTATAAAAATGCCTTCAACATCTCTGATTTTCCAGGACACTCCTGCTAGAAGGAAATCCCTTCCGTACGCCCCGAGCAGCCGTTCTGGCAAAGGGAACAGCCGCGGTGCTGGAATACCTCAGGAGCCGAATTCCTGCTTAGTGCCAGAGGTTGCTTCCCTGTTGGCCTGGGGGATCCTGCTCCTCTCTGACCACCCGTCGAATACTCAACTGCCTCCCTCCTTCCTTAGCCACGATAAAGCTGTCAAGGAAGAAGTTGCTCATGAAATATTTTCTCCCACCAAGGTTGCATGTTTTAAATTTTAAAAACGCCACAATAGTTTTGTTGGCGCATTTTTTTTTTTAAGGAGGTTATTATGCTGAAGGCTAGCTTCAGTAATAACGACAATGTTTTTCTACAATTTATTTTTTAAAAAAATTCAAACCCCAAAAGTATTTGAGCATAAATAAGGCATACATTAACTTTTTCCGCCTTTTCCTTTTGTATGCTTGTTTTATAAACATTTGCTATGTTGTCTTCTGTAAAATTTTGGTCTCTTGGCTGTTGCCTCAAGCCCTTGGTTACTGGTCAGGGGGGTAACGCTCAACCCTGACCTGCTCGTTACGGCGCGGCTGCAGCAGGCAGGTGCTGCGCGCGGCACGCGGAGAGCAACGCACACGTGGTTGGTGTGCGCACCACTGAAATAATAAATGTTTCCTGGTGGATGTGTGGTTTTGGTTTCATGTGCATAGTTCTGAATGTAGACACGTTTTATTTTGTATTTAAAAACACTTCCACAGCCTAGAGGTGAGCGCTTATTAATAGTGGTAATGTTTCATGGATATGAGTAATTTAGAAGGAGAAGCAGCTTGGTCTTACCTGCAATGTGACTGCAGGGGTGTAGCATCCTTGTTCAGACCATTAGAGCCAAAACTTCCGCCCATTCCAGCATGGTTTCCATTTTCCCCCCCTCTCCCTGTCAGCTGTAGGAGGCTCTGGCGCAAGGGCCATGCAGGGACGGGGTGGGTGGCAGGGACAGGGGCTGCTGGCCGGGGGCGCTGCTGCTGGGGGGCTGCTGCGGCTGCTGCATGAGCGCTCAGCACCACCAGGGTCACCAGTAGCCAAGGCCTTGGTGCTGCCCCCGCTGCTGTTTTCTTCTCTCATCACCTATTGAAAAACACCAAACCGGGACACGTTGACCTACATGACCTCCCTGTTTAGCTTTCAGAGCAGCAATAGTGTCTGACTGCCACTTCCACATGAAAACAGCCAGGCTGCCCTCCCGTGGGGTCTCCAGGCCCTGGCACGGATTCCAAAGGTCAAGAAGGTGGCATGAAAGCATTTTTGTCTGCCTTTGCCCAGCCCTTCTGTATCAGGGCAAAAATTCCGTACAGTTCGACCTTAAAATTTCCAGGGTTTTGACTATGGCCAGGATTAACATCAAAACACCCTCCCTCCTCCCCAGGACCCTCAGCTTTGGGGAGCGCCCGGGCAGCGCGAGGCGGCTCCTCCGCTTCCCTCGCAGGAGCCTGGTACCTACGGAACAGGCTCCAGCGAGCGGGAGAGTGCGGGGAGGGGAGGTGCTGAGGCCTTCCCGTCACACATAATTAACGGCATACTCGTGCAGAACGAGTGACAGAGACAGAACTTGTCCCTCTTGGGATTAAGAAGCAGTTCCAAGATGTTCTGGAGTCGCTGGGTTCACTGAAGGGCTGCTGCTTTGCTCCCTGCGCCCTACCCTCCAGCCTGGGGCTGCCCCAGGACGCGGCCGCGTCGCACTGGGGGCTGCAG